AGTTACTAGTTACCAAGTAACTGGTAACGCAAAAGTTACTAGTTACCCGGTAACTAGTAACTCCTGCGTTACTAGTTACTTGGTAACGTAACGGTAACTTCCCTCCCCTAGGTTTTCCACGCAATGGACCATATAGAGTAAAGAATTTCAACTTGATGTAAACAACAAGTATTAAGAGTAGAATAACGACCAGAAAAAGAAGTATTGTCATGATTGCACGCGCGCAAAATATAGGACAAAATGTGTTTTGACGTTGTCTTGTTTTTCTCTGGACGTGTCATCTTATGAAAAGAGAAGGAGGAAAGAAAAAAAAAATACGCGCATATCTAATTAACGTCAGAGAACATAGAGAAGGAGTCATACCGTGTTTCCTTGATTGCGGACGAAAATCAAAGCAATTAGCATGCCGATAGTGTGGGTGAGGGCTGAAATTTTGTCCGCCATTAAGAAGTAGACATTTTGACAAAAGACAAAGTTAAAAGAAAACAAAAAAGAAAGAAAAAATTCTCACTCGTTTATTACGTTACATGATCGAACCATAGCAAGAGTAATGGTGCTACCAACCAGAAAACCACATGATCATTATTGTCATCAGTTACATAGGGATGCGTCCTGTCCCAATAGTAATAAATCTGTACTTGATCAAAGGTGAAGCTAAGATCTTCTTTTTAAGTGATGCAGTAGATAAGAACAACTTTTAATGGAAGAAATCATTTGCAGGCTCTTAATCCTCATATCACTACCTGATATCTACTTGGACCTTATAGACTTTCATGCTAATATTGTGCCTATTGTTAAGCATGGAATCGAACTTCATCATTTTAGATATACTTAAAAGATATTGAATACAGTAACCAAGTAATGCCAATCAATCAAATAGAGTCGTTATTTACATGAATGTATAAATCAATATCTTAGTTACAGTAGTCGAAATTAAACAACAGATCATATAGTATCGTACTGCTACACAACACATATTCGGATTTTATTCAAATTGACAGTTATTCTATCTCGAACTTTCGTTGCGGACTACTCGGCATCATTGAAAGAATGAATGATTAAAGTCAACAGCTACACGTACATATGTAAATGTTCGAAAATAAAAGAGAAAAAGAACAGATAACTTCAAATAATATCTGTTCGTAGCAGAGCAGTCCATTTTGTTGATATGACTCTTTGATTTGTCGTTTTTTTCCAACTTCACACAACGTACTTGTGTTTACTCTTCATTTTAACAGTCTACAGAAGTTAATGTCCAGTAGTATACTAAATCCTTAAGTGGGAAAAAAACCTTTGCCAAGTGTCAGCAAAAAGTTAAAGAAGTAAATAATAGTTTGATTTTAAAATGTTGCCTATGGTATATCATGAAATTAGCATATGCGGTCTTACTGGAATTGTGACCCAGTTATGGTCTATCATGGCATGCTCAATTGTTATCTCTACCAACCATATTAGTTGCTTTGGCCTTGACATATTTTCAAAAGAGCTTCTTAGACTGCTACCTAGTATCAATTTTGATCAGTTCTAAACAAACCCATAACGATTGATCAAGATTCTGATTTATTGGAATTTGAATGAACTAGTCATATACTTCTTAATTATGGCAATGAAACTTTTACACGTTAAAAGACTTTTGCAACTAATAACGGTGCTTTTTTAACAGATATTAATATAGATGACTTCAACGATGATACGCAATTAGATATTGTCGTCGTTAATGCTGCCCATGAGAATATTGACAGACGTTAGTGATATACGATCAAAAACTGTTTATCAATAACATATTGTTATAATATGTGAACTACAGTTATCGACAATAATTTAAGTAAGTTTGTTTTTTCGAATTTTCTTTCAATATAAACTTTTGTCGTTGATTGTATGAATAACTATCATAATTAAAACTTAATCGAATAATGTTTAATTTAATTTTGAATCATAGTCAATGATTTTTGTTTTGTTTTTATTTAGCTACTGAACTTAAAATATTAAATGGTTGTTGACTAGTTATGCTTTTTCTAGAATGAATACTTCTTTTTGTGTATTGAAACTTCAATTGATGTTAGGGGAGGAAATGCTTAATTGAGAGTTTTTTAGTATTATCTAATGGCATACTAGATATTCCAATTGATTTATTGATTGAAAATTTTGTTTTTATCAAATATATTTTCCATTGAGTTGATTTTGTTTCATAATGATAAATTTGAAAAAGATTTTCATATAAATTCAAAAAACGTTGTTCATATTTTGCATTATAATTAATTATATGAAATTCACGTTGATGAATAGAAGCTAAATCACGAATAATAAATTTACGATTTATTAATTTTCGACCACATTGATGTATTCCAGCTTTATTTTCTCCATGATCAAAAAATAAATGACTAAGAAAAATAATAAATCAAGTTTTCTTTTTTAATTAAATTAATTTTATGCTTGTTTTTTTTTGTTCTTACCCGGACACTGTTTTAATCAATGGTCGATAAAGATTAAATGTAGTTACTTTAGGTATTTCTCTAATAAATGAAGGTCGTACAATAAGAAGATCAATAATTATTTCCATATGATAGGATGATAATGGATATTGAACTTTAGTCCAATCGATACGAATACGTAATAATTTTTCTGCACCAAGAAACGCTAATGGAATTCCATTCATATTTTCATATTCAATCGATGGATATATGTCATTGAGAATATATAATTTACCAATTATTAACGTATCAAATGCTAACGATGGTTCGTCACGTGAATTTTTAGGTGTTGAAATAGATGATGTAATTGAACGAGTTATTCGATCTTTTCGATAAGAAAATTCATGAGTTTGTGAATCTCTTTGAGAATCATGTTGAAATTTATCTTTGATAGGTATTTGTTCTGAATCAGTAGAAAAATTCATAGTTGAAATAGAGAAAATAGAATGTTCATCATTTGTTGAAGTCTTGAGAAGTGAAGGAGTGATTAAATGTGATGGGATAGGAATATGATCATTGGAAATAGTTGAATGAAACTAAAGAAAAAAAGCATTAAAAAGAAAATCCTTCTAATAAATTTTTAAAATATGATATTGAATTTTACATGACTATTGACCTGTGTTTTTAGTTTTTGTGATTTCATATTTAATAAAAGTTTATTAGTAGATAAATTATGTTGAATCGATAGATCTAATAATGGTTGTAGATTTCTTTTTTTTAAATAAGAATACATTGATTTTTGTTGAATGGTATTTCTTCGTTTAGTATCAGGCTTAAGAAAATGATCAGATGAAACAATTATCGTTTTTATTGTATTGTGTAATAAATTTAGTTTTTGTGATTTTGATTTCATTTCTTCTATATATGATAAATCAGTTTGAGAAAATTTCTTTAGTCTTTGATTCATTTTTATTTGTTATTTGAAATTATTAAATAAATTAGTTTTCTGTTGTCATGTTAGTAACTAGAAAAAAATATCAAAAGAAAATGGAGTTTTTCTTAAAAATAAAAAATAATGAGTTAGTTAATAAAGAATTAAAAATACTGTCATTTGATCTTTGATGGTCAACTTCAGACGTCATTTTCTACAAAATCTACAACAACTATATAATGCATTATTTATAAGAGTCAATTCTAAGAGAGTGCTACATTAATAAGAATATTGAAGAAATTTTTATCAAGTTTCTTTTAAAATTTTTCTCTGTTAAGGTTAGAAAAAATAGCAATTACTATCTCATTCACTCACTCTGTAATTCACTTTCAGTATTCTGTTCTCATTGTATGCTATTCAAGTCAGGGAAAATTTATTTTTTGCGTACATATTGGAGACAACAGTGCCATTATGTTATACTTAAACTAAAGCAATAGAAGAGTTTAAAGACACTATGTTTAATTTCACATGATTAGTATGCTATAAAAATAGAACGACAACAGTTGCTAATGGTGAGCATTTGAGAGGTATGTTTAAATTTCTAAAAAATTAAATTTTCCTATTAACGGAATTGTCATCGTAGTATAGTAATCAGTCAAAATCAACAATCAGTAGCTTGTAGAAAGTGACTAGGAAATTTTTGAACTGATCAATGAATATGCTATTTCTGTGGAAATAATTTCTGAAATTCGATAATTTATGAGTCAAAAATTTTTGTTTCAATCTTAATTAAAAAAATATTTAATATGTGTAAATAATTTTGATTTTCTGTAAATCATATTCTCAATAGGTATATTCCTTAATAATCTACTGAGACAAGAAAACGAATCTATACTTGGCGCCATCTATTTACATAGATAAATTGATGATGCAAAGACGAATCAATGACGTGTTCATCCACGCAAACAACTAACCAATGCAATATATATTTCTTCTGCTTTTTTTTTTTTTGAATGTTATTTCGTTATTCTCCTTGTCATCTTTTTATTTTCTTTTTTTTTTACTCAAATTACTAGTAAAATGCATTTATTGCAAAATTTCATGGACTCAACGAGTGATGAAACAAAAACAACAAATTCGAATGATGACTTTAAATTTTCGTTACATAGTAAATATTTTTTACGATGTTTATCAGTATTACCTTCTCACACAAGTTCATTAGATAATAGTCGTGTAGCAGTTGCATATTATAGTTTAGCTGCACTTGATTTACTTCATTCATTACCTTTATCATTACCATATCAAAATATTAATGTAATTTCATGGATTTATCGATTACAATTAATAACTGATTCTAATCCAAGTGGTTTTCGTGGTTCATCATGTGCAGTTACATCACAAATAACATCAAATCCTTATGATCATACACATATAACAATGACTATGACAGCACTTTTATCACTTTTATTATTAGGTGATAATTTTGAAAATGTACAACGAGATAAAATTGCATCATCACTTATTCATCTTCAATTACCAAATGGTGCTTTTCTAGCTACATGTTTATCAACAGAAAATGATTTACGTTTTGTTTATTGTGCATGTGTTGTTGCATTTATTTTAAATGATTGGTCTGGTATAAATAAAGATTTATGTACAAATTTTATTCTTCAATGTCGAACATATGAATATGCATTTGGACAAATACCTGGTGCTGAAGCACATGGTGGTTCAACATTTTGTGCTATAGCTGCATTATCATTAATGAATCGTTTAAATAATTTAGATCATCAAAATGAACTTATACGTTGGTGTTTACAAAGACAAGATGAAGGTTTTAATGGTCGACCAAATAAACCTGATGATTCTTGTTATTCATGGTGGATTGGTGCAACATTAAAATTACTTAATAAAGATAATTTAATAAATATTGATCGAAATCAAATTTTTTTACATGCAACGGAATCAACAATAATTGGTGGATTTAGTAAATGGCCTGATTCAACACCTGATCCTTTACATTCATATTTAAGTTTAGCTAGTTTATCATTAATGAAACATAAATATTTAAAACCTATTCATCCAGCATTAATTATTTCAATGGATGCTTTTGAAAGACTTAAAACTGATATACATCCAAAATGGAATAAATAAACGATGCTTTTTTTTTTTTCTTCGTCGTTTTTCTGTTTTTCTCTTATCTAATTTTGTTTTTAGATCATGTTTTATTATGAATAATCATTATAGACAATCATGTTCTCAAACTATAATATCACCAATTATACAAGAACTAATATATAGTGTTGATATTTCATTAGAACTTTTATATAAATATATTGAATTACCATTACAAAATGTATTTTATTGTTTTGGTAATATTTCATTATGTTATGCTCGTCGACGATCATTAATTGAATTTTCAAGACATTTTACTGACATACTTGTTCAAAGTTATGCAATAACATTCTTTCTATATTTTATTTTATTATTATTCGGTTATCTATTTTCTGTTGCAACACAAAATCATTATTTTATTGATCCATTACTATCAAATAATCGACAATGTATCAATATAAAATTCTTTCGTATTCATGATAATGAACATGATTTTCAAGATCTTCTATTAAAAGATAATTTTATTCGAGAAAATATTATTACTGAAGATCAAATTTATCGACGAAAAACATACAATTATAGTCAATTTTATCAATTATTACATCTACTTGAAAATGATCATTATATGATCTGTCAACGTTCACTTTATATATATACACGTTTCCATGCTTATTCTTCCTTATTACATAGTAATCATTCACAATTTCGATTTTTTTTACCTGACTATCCTTCATCATTTACTATTGATCAACCACCATTTCTTGATTTATGTGTACATACATCTAATTATACGCATTTAGAACAGATAAAATCTCGTCTTCTTCCATTAGCATCTTATTATTATGAATCTATTAATTTATTTCTTTTTGATTTTAATTTTACACAAGTTAGTTTAACACTTTATCAATTAAATAATGAATCAATACATCTTGAACGTGTTTCAATTCATACCGGTTGGTTATATGATATGTATTCGCATTTTTATTTTTTCAAATATAATTATGCTTTATCAACAATTTTATTTGATAGTTTACCTGTAGAAGAACATTTTGTAGATTATTTTGATTATTTATATGTACCTGTACCTTCTGATCCTTTACTTGGTTTAAATGAAATGGTTCAACAAACACTTTTAATATTACCCATATGTCAATCAACATGGAATACAAAATGACTTGTCAATAGAATCTTCTTTTTTGTTCACACTTGAGTTTTATTCTATTGTCCTCTTTGATAGTGAATCTCATTAACTTATGATAATCTTTGTCACAATTTGAAAGAAGTATTATGATATGCATTTATTCTTCGTGGTTTTTTTTTTTCAGATCTTATTTATTTATTCTCCAATAACACATCTATTTAACATGTTGGATTTTTTTTACATTCTTACCAAAGGTGGTCTTGTACTTTGGTGTGTACCATCATCAGCTACTCAATTTATTAAAATTGTTAACAATGCTATTGACAAAGCTGTTTTACAAGTAGATAAAAATATTCTTTTTCTTATCTTATTTTTTGTTTTGCTTTATTTTTATTATTTCTTTTAGGGTCAAGGTAATGCACAAAAATGGGTTGCACCATTAAGTCCTCATCATATTCATTATAAATTGGACAATGAATTCGAACTTGTTTTTATCGTATGTATATATATATATATATATGATTTGATATACCCTTTATAAATAATTCATTTTTAGCTGGGTTATCAAAAAACATTAAATATATCGTATGCCGATAAGTTTTTAAATGAAATACAAAAACGTTTTCGTGATCTATACAAAGATGATTTAACTATTGGTAAGAGTTATTTTCTAAGCAATTATATTTTTAAGTTTTTATTTCAATGATATTTCTATTCTGTACTAAACTTTAGTCCACAACCCAATATATTCATTATTGTTTCTTTTATTTTAAATAGGTAGTGTCAATCGATCATTTCCATTTCGTGTTACATATAATAAAGTTCTTTCTGCAATTGAACAAGAAGATGAAGAAGCTAAAAAAGTAAAACGTACACCACGTTCCTATGAAGAGTCTGATAAAAAACAGAAAACAGTTAAGATAGTAACTAAAAAAGGTGATGTAGCAACAGATGAAAAGAAAAAGAAAAAACCTAAACAAATGGCAATATCAAACAAACAATCAGTAACTGCTGCTCAAAATGAAGAAGTAGACGAAAAAGAACAAGAACAAGAGCAAGAAAAAGAAGATATCAATAATGATGAAGAAAAACAAAATGAAGAAGTGCAAGAAGAATCATTGGTTAATCAAGATGAGAAACAATGTATTCCATTAGAAGAAATTCAACAACCAAAACTTTCAATAGCTGAAAAATTATCAGCAGCTGGTAAAAAACCAGCACAATTTTCAAAGGCTTCAGCAACGTACGAAAAAAGAAAATAATATTCTTGAATAATCAACAATTTATTTATTTGAATTTTTTTGTTTAGTAAACCTTCACCTAAAGTAGAGAAAGGTAAACCAAAAAAAGTTCTGGCTACATCAAATGTCAGCAAAATTGATACAAATGGACTTGATTATACAAAAAAGACAGATGGAAAAGAACCGGTGAGTATCATTAGTAAGTAAAGCTTTTCATAATAATAATAAAACCTAATTCATATTGAGATTATGAAACTATAATTAATTCCTAATCGAACACATCAAGTAATAGTTAAGAACCAAAATTTTGTACTTTCCTAGAAAATAACTTTAGAAATTTTATACTTCTTTTTATTGGTTAGTAATGCAAGAAGCTTTGAAAATTCGTTTAGATAAAAATATTTTCTATTGCGAATCGAAATACAAGATGGAAACATTGGCTTCATATATTAGACTGTCGCGTGAATTCTGTTCTACATATTGGACTAGCACATCTTTTTCTATCGAAATCACTTTTGAGAAAATGCTCATAATTTTGATTGTGTACAAGCTACATTTAACTTCGACATCACATTTGGTAGAAAAATATGCTTTCTAGCTAATAACTACATTTAGCTACTCTTAACATTTCTAAAGCGACTTATACAGATAGTAAATGTCTGTTTATGTCATTGTTCAATCAATTTTTTAAGATTCTCTTCGAAGGTCGAAACGAGAGAATATTCTGTTTCTCATCCCGAAAAAAGTAATTTTAATCATATAATTTATTTGATTACATATTGCAAAAAATAGATAGAAAAGCACAAAAACAATATTGATTGAGATTAATCATTGCTGTACTTTATTTTTCTCTATTGTAAGAAGAAAATAAAATATTACTGACAATCGTTGGATCTATACTAGATCTTCTTTGTTTAACAATTTCACTTACTACCGAATACTCTCTTTCGACAACAACTGAACTACATGGTATTAAGTATATGCGACATGCTAATTAACATTGCTTCGTTGTAATCTCTTCTCGTCCTGAGAAAACTAGCCTCTGATCCTCTTATCAATATAGTATTAAAAATAGATACAAAAATTTCTGAGTTTTATCTTCAACAAGAACATTAAATTCAGGTCTTGATCCACAATTTGTCTCACAAATAACATATTGTTAAAAAAACTAAAAATAGATAGAATATTACAGAGACATATTAGTTCAGATGCTTCAGTCAAACAATACATACAAAATTTGTAAACTTATATTCATAAAAAATACAAAATTTTAGTTATAATATATAACTTTTCATTCGTCTAGAAGCACTTTCAAGTAGATCTAAAATGAACAAATATTTTTCTCAATATTTCATGTCTCTATTTGTATTTTATTAAAATAATATTAAATCAAATTGTTTTTAAAGGCTAATGGTCGAACAAATATTACTACTCCAATTGCTGATCGACCTGAACATGGAGATTTAAAAACTATGACTGTCGAGTATGTCGATTTCACTTGTACATTAGAAAACAAACATTATTGTTTTTTTTTTTTTCTAAAATCTTTTATTACAGATCACCTAGTATTACATCTGGTTTAGTCGATGGTTTTTGGTCAAAATTAAAAAAAGTTAATGTTTTTGCATCGAAAACATTAACAGCTGATGATTTACGTACAGGTATTGAAACAATGCGTGAACATTTAATTGCAAAAAATGTTGCAACCGATGTCGCTGAAAAAATTTGTGAATCTGTTTCAAATAAATTAGCTGGAAAAACATTAGGTTCATTTGAAAGTCTTACATCAAATATTCGTCAAGCTATGCGAGAAACATTAGTTATGATTTTAACACCTAAACGACGTATTGATATTCTTCGAGATGTTGTTGATGCACAAAAAGCACGTCGTCCTTATACTATTACATTTTGTGGAGTTAATGGTGTTGGAAAATCAACAAATCTGGCTAAAGTAATTCATAATTAAATTTTTTTTTTTGGTTTTTTTAATTCAATCAAAAGAGGAAGAAAAAAATCAATAATTTAATTTTTTTTCAGGTTGCTTATTGGCTTAGTGGAAATGATTTACGAGTTTTAATAGCTGGTTGCGATACATTTCGTGCAGGTGCAATTGAACAATTATTAACACATGTACGTCATTTAAATAATATATTCAATGAAAAAAATATGCCTATGATTGAATTATATCAACGTGGATATGGAAAAGATGCAGCTGGCATTGCTGCAGAAGCAATTAATTATGGTAATAATTTTTTTTTTAGGAAATTTTTATTCTCAAAACATAGTTTTTTGATGATTTTTATTTTTTTAGCTAAAGATAAAAAATTTGACGTTGTTTTAATTGATACAGCTGGTCGAATGCAAAATGATGAACCCTTAATGATTGCATTAGCTAAAGTAATTATTTGCATTTTTGTTTTTGTGAATTCGTTGGTTTTTTTGTTTTTTATTTCTAGTTAATTCATGTTAATAATCCTGATTTGGTTTTATTTGTTGGTGAAGCATTAGTTGGAAATGAAGCTGTTGATCAAGTAACAAAATTCAATCAAGCACTTATTGATAATGCACGTTTACACAGTAGTCCACGAGTTATTGATGGAATTGTTTTAACTAAATTTGATACAATTGATGATAAAGTTGGCGCAGCTATATCAATGACTTATACAACTGACAAACCGATTGTTTTCGTTGGTACAGGACAAAAATATCAAGATCTTAAAACACTTAATGCCGATGTTGTTACTGAAGCTCTTTTAAAATAAAAAAAAAATCATATTTATCTTTAACATGGTGATGGGATTTTTCTTTTCTTTTTTTTTCTCAGTGCCATATATACCTGCTTTATCAATATTTATTTTGTCATTTCTTTTTTCGTTCTATATATTTATGTTTATCTTTACTCATGATTGTTGTTGTTTCGTTTGTACTGAGTAAAATAAGCTACTTTTACAATTAAAATTAATTAATAAGAGTTAAGCCTATATTTTCATCTTCATATAATAGAATTGTACTTGTTGATTAGCATCCTACAATCGAGTCAGTATGGAGATATGAGATATCGATGTTTCAGCAGTGTCCAAGTTCCCGGAGTGCGGGAACTCTTTGGGAATTGGGAACTCAAAAATCAATTATCACAAACGACCGCTAAGAAACTAAAACATATCAAAGAAATCAGGGAACTCTGGAATATCAGGGAGCTCTGGGATATCAGGGAACTCTGGGATATCAGGGGACTCTGGGATATCAGGGAGGGTGTAGGTGTGGGTGAGTGGGTGTGGAAGTGCTTGAGTTTTTTTTCTATCCTAAGACCGACATCCACACCCACATCCTATACCCATAATCCTCCACTCCAGAGAAAGAAGTAAAGAATAAAAAATAACTGGAATGCATATTATAAGTTGTCTGATCGAAATGAAGGACTTGTTTTAATGCAGATATTTCTTTGTAATTCATAATATGTATCTCGGTGACTGGCGAAACACTCAGATATCTGATATCATTAAAGCAAGGGTGCGTTCTTGAAATTGGAGGATTTATTCGAACGACCTGTTTGTCACTACTAGCCAGGTGCGGGTATGGATGGGGGCGTGGGTGTGGGTTTGCGTGTGGGGGCGGGTGTGAATAATGAGAGTAATCACACACACTCCACACACAGACACCCTTACCCATGCCCCACCCACACCCCACCCACACCCATACCCAAAACCCACACACCCATATCCACACCCACGCCCATAATAGTCATATATCATCGTGTGGTAAACAGCCAAAAGCTGGCTTTTGTTGCCATTT